TTAAAAAATGGCCGCCATCTTGGATTTTCAATTGGCCAATCGGGCAGATTTGATTAGTATCACTTGGAGAACAAGTGTGCCAAATTTGATGCTTGTATCATCATTTGCACGATTCCTCTCAAAAATTGCTATTATCTGCTCCACTATGGGTCGTCGTTCGTCGTACGTTCGTTCGTCCGTCAACATTTGGCTACGGTCAATGATAACTCAGGAACCGTTTGACCCACATGTTTGAAATTGGGTATAATTGTTACTGCTATGCTCCCATATTAAACGTACTATTTTGGAGCACGCCAGTCGACGTACTTTCGAGCCACAGCAATTTTTTGGCAAAAATGGGAATTGCCATTAGTCAGTTCAGGTTCAACGCATTTTGCTCATTTTTGTTGGTATGTGAATGAATAAAGGCTAAGGGTTTTAATATTTAAATTTTTTTTATGCAAATTAGGTAGGTTTTGGCAATTATATAGCATATTATATAGACACGAAGATAACAAACAGCCTGTGGTGTCACACTCGTCTGGTTCGTTTTACAAGATTTCATTGACAATATCATTAATGCAAAATTCCTGCTATGAACATATTATGATTTATACTATTATTGTATCCCTCGAACGAAGTTCGTCGGGATACTATGGGTTTGGCATCGTCGCGCCGCCGCCGCAGAGATTTCTTTGTGAATGCTCTACCGGCTGCAGTTCTTCTCGGATCATCTTCAAATTTCGTATGAAGGTGCGTTATCGTAAAGCGAAGACGCCAATCCTTTTTGGTGTAGGCGGAGTCATCGTTGCCATGGTAACATTTTTTGTTGAAATATTATAGAACCTGTAACTTCTGCACTTTTTACCCGATTGTCATAAAATTTATATTTGTATTAAAATTTAAATTTGAAAATTTGAAAATAAAATTTAAATTTGAAAATCAAAATTTAAATTTAATATTTGTATTTAAATTTATGATTGTCATCAAATATATTTATATATATATATATAGGACATGTTATATCGGCCCTGTGTGCCAAATTCCATGACAATCGGGTAAAAACAGCACAAGTTACAGGTTCTACAATATTTCCACAAAAATGTTGTTTACCATGGCAACGATGACTCCGCCCACACCAAAAACGATTGGCGTCTTTGCTTTACCATAACGCACCTTCATGCCAAATTTGAAGATGATCCGAGATCGGGTAAAAACTGCCCACCAGGTCACTTTGAATTTTATTTCACCTTTACCTTGACCTTGATCATATTTCTCTTCCGCTTTCTAACTAAGCCCCTAATTGACCTCTGTGTGTTGTGTGTGTGTGTGTGTGTGTGTGTGGTGTGTGTGTGTGGTGTGTGTATGTATGTATAGGGTGCGTGTGGCGTGTGGTTGCGTGTGCGTGTATGTGTAGAGATGTGGTAGATGTGTGTGCGTGGTGCGCCGTGTTGATTGTGCGTGCGCATGTCGCGTATGTTGTGAATGCGTGAGTGCTCGTGCGTGCGCGCGTGTGTGTGACGTGTGTGTGCAGCGCGTGTGCAAAGTATTTGAGCAACCGGAGATTAACCCTGCGCCCGCCAACCATGCCACTGCCATTCGGAAGAAACTATAGCTGTCAAAACTACTCATGCATTGCTTTGCTTTTTTTAAGAATTTTACCCTTCAATTCATTGCGATGCTTCTAACAGAAGATATTTTCACAAAAAATAACTATAATAAGTGAAATTGTACTGATGATATCACCGCCTTTCCTTTTTTGAAAAAATTATATGTCATTTTGAAGGTATAATTTGCAGATTTTATATATATTTAAGAACAAATATCGTTTACTGTAAATACGATCTCAATAAAAAGCTAAATGATAAATGGTTTAAAGCATGAATAGCCGCCATGATTATACAAAGTTGACGAATGCTACCACTAACTGCACCTCTGTAAGTTAATAAGTACATTACCGTTATAGTCAAACGCGTATTAGTTTGTCCAATATTCACTGGCTAATTACTAAGAAATGTCTAATTGAAATCCGTAATGGCTGGTAATTCTGCGCCAGACGCTAATGGTTGCCATAAGCAAACATAGCCTGCGAATTCGGTTAGGGTTCGGTTCAATTCGGTCACATGTGCTAGCGGGTGTTTAGCAGAGAATTGTTTGGTCCCGGGATGCTTATATAACGACCTAAATGACGCTAGTTATAGAAATGTATGCTCCTGGGTGTATTCTACGTATTGAGGCACAAGTAAATAACGCAGGGTGCCTAATGAAGCGGTACACATGTCTCTCAATTCAGAGCACAGGTGTATCGTTGACCAATATACGAAAACGCGTAGTGCCGTCTGCTTCCATGTTTAGTCTGTGCCGTGGTTAGTCGGATCCTCCATAGCGTTGGCCCCAACACGCCTAACTGTCATATCACAGCGTCCGTGATTCGTAGCATGATTGCCACGTTCATTACAATCAGAAGCTACTGTTTACGTAATAACTACAGTTTACGGTCTGCATGTACTATCGCTAAGCATATGGCTACGGCCCGAGCGAAATCATGCGTGCGTGCGTTTGGCATGGCGTACGAAAATGTCCGGTGACTCATAAATCACTGTATCACACCCTCACGTTAGAAGTAGCGGTTCAAACTGTAAACAAAGTCAGTCAAGCTGAATTCTCGTCGGGGGCTGCGGATTTTAATTAGAACATTCTTATGTAACGCAGCAGTGATATTGGACAAACCTAATACGCGTTGGCTATTAAAGTAATGAACTTATTAAACTACACAAGTGCCCAGTTACTCTAGCATGTCGTTAAAATTGCATAAATCGAATGGGCCTATTATCGCTTTAAAACCACATTTGGCTCAAAGTCAGAACCCCCTCAACACCCAGTCTGGAGGACGGTAACTTGCTAAGTTATCATCATAATAATTAATATATAATATACTAGAACGAGCATTGTCGACACTACATGTACCCCCGTGATCAGTATGATGGAATATCTCTGTAAGGGACGTAGAAGGCAGGTAAAAGTTAAATAAGTCAGCAAAAGACAAAGGTTTGTTAGAGCAACTGGCATGGTGTGGCCTCAGATTGCAAAGTTATATGGACGTAGGAGCGCCGAAGAGGAAATGTAGTCAACGTGTGAAGGTCATAACTAAGGCTCAAGGGCAGTGCGTGTTTTGGTATGGCGACAAGACCTTCTCCAAAGAGTGTAAGCTAACAAGGTTGGCTCGCGCTAA